ATGGCTTCATCACTCAGTTGTGCCTGCGATACCATGATATATAAATATGTTCCTGGTCTCTTGGTTATGTAGGTTTCCAAGTCAAGAGTAGTCATACATTCTCTAGCAGCCCTCTAGCTTATAATTGTTTGCATAAATTATACAGCGTAGCAATTAATGGGTGAATAGTAACAATAGAATGTGCAATGTGCCATACAGCAATAGGATTGCAATTTACAAATTGCCAATTTATCAAGGGCATGAAGAATGATAGCAATCTAAATATGGATTGCCAGGTTAAGGGCAATTAGGCTAGATTCTGCCACCCAAACCCCATGTAAAAAAAGCAGTAATGAAAATGTTAGTAGAGAAACTGGACCTGTGTGCACTTCAAGCATCCAATCATGTACAAAGGAATTTAGAGGACCTTCATATGATTGGAAAATGAACCCCAGTTTACTTCAACTTACCCTTTCCTGGTGTGATTATGAGATCAAAATCTGCTTTGTAACGCTGGAGGAGATAGCGGAGTAATTGCTTCAAGATTAAATCGCAAAATTAAAACTGCAGAGCTGCAGAGAAAAAAAACAAAAATCTCCCAACAATCTCTTCAATTCATGATTGATTGCACTGGCCTATTCAAGGCAGCATAAGTCATTAATCGTGTAAAGTTTCCCTGATGCAACTAAAATTGCAACATTACATGACAGTACTAAGATTTTCCACATTCAGATATGAGTACATTGTACATTGAAAGGAAAACTATCAATTATTTTCTGCTACAAATAGAGTTGGCCATTGCAGTTTAGTCTTTCTTTGTTACATAATTGCATTTAAGCCATGTTTAAGTGTATGCCAAAAACTGAGACAAACATTAATGAGTTATATGTAGAAATCTAAACAGCACTGCAATTACAGTAAAACATATGCTTCCATTAGACTGGTGCTCTTTTCTTATGATTGTGGGATGCACATGTATAGTGATGGACCCATCTTTGAAGGATCACAACCAGAGTGAAAAATTTAGGAAAGAGGAATCTATATATTCCACAATATATATTGTGGCATTGCGTGGCAAAGTCAGGCCGGCGCTACCGCAAGGCAAGTCAGGCGGCTGACTTACGGCGCTGCAGGGTGAGGGCGGAAAAAAAAGGGGATTTTGACAAGTACTTGTACTTGTCAAAATGCCCCGATGTTTGCACTATGTTTTTTTTTTTCACTTACCTTCAGTGCGGGAGAGCAGCGGCGAGTCAGCGCTGGTCCAGTGGGAGGAGCTCCAGGTGGGGTCCTAATTTAGCTGGCCGGCGACTGCCTGAGGATCCCGACACGCGCGGCACCTCAGGCAGTCACCTGGTCTAGTTCTAGTGCTCTGTCCTAATGCCATTTTCCTCTCCTGGTGGTGTGTGTGGGGGGCAGCAATGTTGCCTCCATATCCTAAGGTGATGCCTCCAGCCGCCTCCTTGTCCCCTCATTTCAGGACCTGCTCTCAGCTGGCCAATGAAAGTTCTGCAGCCTCCTGCCCAGCCTATGACAGCTAAAGTGGGCGGAGAAAGTTGCAGGTAGCCACTGAGGAGCTTGATCATTAGACCAAAAAGTTTCCCCAACAGATTTTCTTCAAGAAGTCTATATTCTTCCTTCATCTAGGAGAAAAAACAGTAAGATCAACCTTCAAGATCCAAGGTCAAAGGTGGCCTGGTAGTATTGCACACTATTGCCAGCTATTATGGACCCCTAATATAGCTGGCTTCTATCATGGGCCCTTAATGTAACTGATTTTGAAGGACAGTTAGAGATGGAAAGCATCCCCTAATCCACAGCAGATGTCAACACCTTTAAACAAATTAAAACACACTTTTCCGAATTGTAATTTTCAAGCTATAAAAATGACCTATATTCCCATAATAATAATAATCCAACAGTGTGTATCAGTTTCTTTAATAAAGTCTTAAGCTGGCCATACACCTATTGTTTATCATTCGATTTCTTTCATGCCCTCATCGAACCATCGCTCGATTTCCGCTTGAATAGCCCATCATGCACAGAGCAATGTCGATTTTGATTATCGTTCGTTAGCAATACTAACTCACCGAATTTCGTCGATCGACAGAACGGATTTTTATTTGCGTATGTGCAGTGTTCATGTTGCGATTTTTTTTTTGTATGAAAATGCCACTAATCCATCGATTTTCGTACGATTAGAAAAAAAGTTTTACAGCCTGACCGATTGGCAAGGAGTACAGTAAAAAAAATCGTTGGGTTCCCATCAACTGATCGACTATCGTTCGAAAGACCATTCGTGGATGATTTCCGTACGATAATCCATAGGTGTATGGGCACCTTTAGGCTGTTAACGGTATTCTTTTCTTCAAATTGCTCCAATATTGTTTCATATGTATTTGAAACTTTTAATGCACATATTTTCTTCCATCTACTGTTACAACTTTGTGTAAACTTTAAGAAACCAACTTCTTGTATTTAGAATTTAAAAAAACTAACTCAAATGACACATTTATAAATGCAGGGACATCCAATCACTGGCTCCTCGATTTGTCTGAATTTACCTTAAATTTGTGGCAATTAAACTTGCACATTTAGGGCTTGTTCACACCATTTTCTGGTCCATATCTGGAGCAGATCTGCAGATGCTGTGCAAAGCGTGCATCGCGTTTTTGATGCATTTTTACCGCGCTACAGGCGCCTTCCAGTTTTTTGGGGGGGAGGGGGCTGTCAGTATGCAGATTCTTGCTCTGAGGTCGCTTCCGGCCTTCATCAAAAGTGGAGCAACAATATAATTTTTTTTCAGTAAGCTGCAGTGTGGTGCGTTTCTGGCGTGCTCCAGAGAAAATGTGACATGCAGTATTTTTTCTGTCCGGAACGGAAAGCACTGCGCTCGTGTGAACTGGAGCCCATAAAACACATGGGTATACATTGTGATACATTTTTAGTGCAGGAGCGAATTGTTCTGGTCTGGACAGAGTCCGGACATCGTGTGAACAATCCCTAAGATTAGTTATAAACTTTCCCAGGGTGGGTACAAAGGGCTTAAACAAATAAACGGTAATGGAGATTTTTCTGGGTATAAAATCTTCATTTGCGTCATACATGGCCTACAGCATTCGTGTGTGCCAGGTGAGCAGCCGGTCCTCTGTAGGACTGAATAGGAATAATATGGAAAAAATCAATAAATTGCCCTTCCAAACTGTTCTGTCAGCTGTTATATTGGCTGTATTATAAATATGTTAAATGTCCCTGAGACCTGAATTTCCCTTTGAAGAAAGGAAAATCTAGATGTGCAGCGAATGGTGGCTAATGTGCAAGTAAATTTGGCTTGTGTGGCTACATTTTTTGAATGACAAAAATTGACCCGAAATGTCAAAGCAATCTACCACTAACCACCTCGTCTGTCTTATGATGGAGGTAGGTTTCATGTTGGTTGTTTTTGCTAGAATAGGCTAAAAGTGGTTAAAATTAATTAAAAATGGCTGTTTAAACCATTAAGCTGGCCTTATATCTGGCAATTCAATCAAGCAATCGTACTATTAATTCAGTTTTTTGTTGAAATTGTAAAGCAGTGGAAAACATAAAATGGTGGTTCTGAACAACTGCCAGGAGAAAGAATCGAAATTCAGCAGAAAAATAAGATTATTTTTAACAAAATTGTTTTTGGTTTTTCTAGTTTTGATCAATTTTTATCAATAACCTGTATCGAAACTATTACAAGCATGACACATGCATTTATTTTTCTGTAATACAATAGAATTTTTTTGAGCAGACAAGGGGTTAAATAATTAACCCCCCAAAAAGTATCAGTTTGAGCAACTTGATTACTGGCTGTATTGAGGACTAATGGGCCATGTTGTCCTTATGGCCTTCGAGGTTTTTAAATGGTTGTGTGAATTTAAGGATGGGGGATTAGTAGAATCTCTTATCCCTCCCCCAGCACCACCCCCCTTGCCGTACTTTGCCTTATCCTTTCCAAAATTGAGTCTCTATAGCAACGATGAACTTCTTTTTCAACGTCCTTTGAGGTTATTGTGCTGATGTTTTTTCTTTGGATGGGGCAAAGGAAGAATGGGGGATTCATCCCCACCCCCCAGCCAAACATTCCCATGTACACTTTTGTACACAGACATGTCTGAGTCAGAATTTCAGATTAATACGCCTCCAAAGCAATTCATGAGTATTTCACCCCTTTGTGCAATACATAAAGTGTATATAGCTCTGCTTATAGGCGATATGATTTATTCCTGCATGTCCTTCGTATTCTGGCACTGCACCACTCCATGGGGGACAGCTTTTATGTTGCATATTGGCATATTTGTATTTACACGGTGCCAACAGTGAATACAGCAGTTGTACAAAAGGATGGATAGGAACACACAGACAAATACTGAGGGAGGTGTAAAACAACATTAAACAGCCAGACTCTGCAGTTGTCTCTAAACAGAAATAAAAGATGTGTGGAATAAGCCTTTCATTCTATACAAAGCTAAGTTCCTATTTTTGACTGCTCTCCATGAGGTGATCATCATGCAACAATAAAGTCCAAAAACAGTCCTTATAAAGTGGAGAAAACATTTTAGATTGTATATCCTTAAATCGGAACTCTAGGCAAATAGGTAAATACAAATGTAAAAGGCAAATATGCTAACAGGTCTACCTGCAAAATGATTTGCAGTTCTTTTCAGTTATTGCTTTGAGTCACACACCTTTGGAAGGCAGGGAAGACGTCTTTTTTTTTTTTCTGGTTCAGCAGTGCCACTTCTCCACCTCCAACAGCAAATTGGAAAAATCTGTCCTGTCCAGAAACCCAGGGGGTGACCCTAGATGTTCCAAGGCTAATCCCGGATTCAATAAAAATCAACTTTCTAGCTATGCAGTGTAGTGGAGATGTATGAAAAACAATGATAGCTAACTAAAATTACATTTCCCAGTATGCTGGTACATTTTTCAACATTGTACACATGCTTTTGTATACATAATATATACTGTATTCATACATGTGCCCATTTATTCTACAGAGGTGCAGTGTGGAAATGTCACTGAGGGAAGACAGGAAGCATGCTTTACTCCGTCAGCTAGCGACCTTGAGGAAGGAAGGTACTGGGCTACCTACTAGCATCCAAGACAAGGAAGAGATGATTCAGGAGAAATGGGACATGCTCAAGGTGAGCTTAATTTGGTTAAAGAGGACTGGTTACAAGAGTCTGAACCAAGGTATTATTCTGCCAGAAGACTAGTGGAAGACAGATTGTACACATGTCATAGATGTCAACTTGACATAAGTTTATCCTGCGTGCTATTTCATTGTCATTCACTAATAAAGCAAACTTTCATTTGACAATTCTTATCTGTTATCTGTCACCGAAGTCTTCAATGTTTGGGACATAATTTGCATAAACATTAGACATTTGGTGTAGTCATGGAATATTCTGTCTAAAGTAAATTCTAATACATGCAGCAAATTGTCTGGTAATGCTCCAGCTATTGCTAGGTGTTTCCAGTTCCCTACACACCACACAGAGATCCAACTTTTAGTATAGATGGGGATGTGAAGCATTAAGTTGCATGTAAAAATGACATTTGAGGTGTGTCTGGGAAAATAGCGCTCAATTCATTAAAGAGGGAAAGATAATAGGTATTATTACCTCCAGGATTTTTTTCTGTTTGCATTGTAAAAGAAAACCTCTGATGGGAGAAACATTGAGGCTTCCATTGTGGACACCTCCTTCTGAAATTTCTAGTCGCTGCTGACCTTCTTGTTTTAGTTCTTTAAATGACTGATGTGGAACACGTATGCAGTTATGGGCATCTGGCACTTCCTGATCTGTGTACTTCTTCCATATTGTTGAATCAGAAAGTACTGAGCTAGACCACTAGCATTTTCAGAAGCAGGATTTTACTAGGCGAACAAGCAACAATTGAAAAGGTATCATTTTAGTAGGTGATATGCTATTGTTGCATGGTCTTGAAGTGCACCTGTCATGTTAGGAGAGCACTTTTTTTGTGTGTGTTTTTTAAGAAAACAAAAACTGTCGCCCCCCTTCTTTAAAGTGATCCTGTTGCTATACCAAAAATATATAGCAAAGCCATACCTGTAAAAGAAGACAGCAGGTTTTCACCTTTTCTGGTCCCTGCATTGCCAAACCCTGCTCCGTTCTGAAAACTGACACTTCCGGAAGTGTCAATCTTCTTGGGGTCCCCCTTCCCCGCAGAGCTCACTGGTTTTTCCCCCTGACCTCATGTCACTACTGTATCCTACAGTGACATGAGGGCTGTGAGGGACCAAGGGGATCGACACTTCCAGAAGTGTTGGTTTTCCAACATACTTTCAGAGCATTGGTTTTGTCTTTGATGGCCCAGGCAATGGAAAAGGTGAGCCTTCACCTTCTTCTTTTACAGGTGTTAGCCCACAAAGACATTTTCCAAAGTCAAGTGTTTTAGCTTGCATTTACTTTATTGGCTGGATATCTTTTGGCAATAAAGGATTATTTTTACAGCATGAATGACTGAAATACAGGTATGACAGATTCAAACCTTAGACCCCTGTTAACAAAGCAGTTCGAACTTAGCACTTGCATCTTGTGTTCGAGCACAGCTGCATCTCTTGAACCTGCAAATGATCACCATATCAAATCTTCCTTTGCTCTTTGTATAAAACCGGTCCTGCCTTTATGGCATTATTGTTGCTTAGGTTTCACTATTCTGCTACTCTCTTCCACAGATGTCTCTTTCTGAAGCGCTCTCTTACTCAACACCCCGTCCTGTGCTCTCTCCTGGAAGTGGAAATCTAGTGCAGCAACTTGATCAACGAGTAAAAGAGCTGAAGTCTTGGCTGAGAGATACTGAGCTAGCCTTGTATAACTCTAGCCTGAGGGTGGACAAAGAAGACAATGGAAGAACTAAAGAACATTTACAAAGAGAGCTTCAACAATTCCAGGTAGCCATGAATTTCATAAACCTGTCAATGTATGCCTAACCTAAATTATCCAATTAGTACATTTTAGATGTAAATCTTTTTTTAGGTCTTCATTCTTTTTGTGGTACCCTCTCTTTCTCATAACTCATCTCATCAATAATTGTATTCACTCCTCATAGGCCAAACATCAGCAAGATAAAGGGCTATTCAGGCAAGGTTCTTAACTAAAAACCATTGTTGTAGATTTGGTTGTTGCTTTCAATATTTATGTCTGTAGAACCTTAAAGTAATCCTTACAATTTTTCTTTGTTTTATATACTGAAAATACATCTCGTCCATCTTTTACAATTAAGATTTTTTCAAAATGTTTATTGTACAGATACAAACTCGTAACAAGTGATAAGCAAAACCGAGATCCACAGTGGATCAAGCTAGTTTGGAAATTTTGCTGGATCAGTGAATGCTTATGTTAAGATGTGTATAAACGTGCATCAATATGTGTTGTGACTTGCAGTAACATTTAATACAAAGTGCATCGTAATTCACATTAAAAAACATTCTACAATGCAAGTTAATTCATGTCACTGCACATGGGCAAGTGCTTTCATGTGTTTCCATTGGCTGTCGATGGAAAATGAATCTGGGTAAAAAAACACATGGGTGTGAATTCAGCCTGGGGGGGAAGTTTATGATTAACTTAAGGATTAGTTATGTTTTAGAGCTCAGATGAGATTGTGGCTTAAGGGTTAGGACAGGAGATAGGAAGTGTGGTGGACAATTTTTCTTACACTTCTGCTGATGAAACCCACGCTGAAAACTGGCAAAAACATGGCAGCAAAAAAGAGTGTACAGATTGCTGAATGTATCCATCAAAGAGCAATAATGTCTGTATAGAAACATATGTCCTAAATGCCTGGGAGTCCTTGAACACAGCAGTACTTAAATGGTGGCCAAAAATGCCTGTAAGCTTTAGCAATTAGATAGCTGAAGCAACAGGAAGAGTGGGAACATGTTTAATATATAAGCATACTTATTCAAAAAGACAGTCTGAAAAGCAACATTAGACTGCATAGTAAGGAAAAGGTATCAACCAGCTGTCAGTCTACTTAAATGTAACTGAAATTGTACTGCTAATTGGTTGTTGTGGGTTACGTCACTCTTTGCTTCATTGAATAAATCTAAATGGGTTCACATTTGACCTTCCCATGTATGTATAGATAGATGTGTATTTGAGAATACCTTTGTAGGTGCTCAGGGATGGTGGAAGCTCAAAAACTGTATTGAGGGGCTGAGTACAGACACGGGGCTTTTTGTACATCCCTTCCTGTTAAATGTATACTCTGATCAGATTCAGAAACTTAGTGAAAGTATTTACATAGAACAGCACCTAGACCACAATGTACCAACTGCTCAGATGGGGTGATTTACTGAAGCATTAGACTTTTTACTCAGCCAAGTGAACCTGTATTCATGATGTACATGTAATCATGTCCAAAGGAGTTTAAAAAAATTAGGCATTCCACCTGTACATGTTAGATATTTACAGTTCATACAGTTTCACAATCTATCATTGCTCCAGTCAACCAGGGCAAGGTAGCGAGCACTAAGCTGCGTCAAGTAAAAGACACTCAGAACCACAACAGACAGATGTAAAACAACCCAGTTGAAAATGTTCAGTTTGCAAATAATAGGATTACTTATGACTCTGCAAGTCATTACTAAATCCTGCCTTCTCCTACTAAACACACATTTTGGAACTTGCTCACTGACTACTAGTTGACAGCTTAAAGTAAACCTTTATAGACAAAGCAACAGGGTTGCTCTAAATCCTCACCCCTCTCTAGCATATACTTCCCTTTCCTTCACTCCATTACTGCTTTATTCAGTAATGGAAGCCAAAGGAAATATCTCCAAGTATGGAGGAGCATACGGCTCACTCCACGTGACAGTCTTGGGCCAATTAATGCTTTCAAACAGGGAGTCCAGCAAATCCCCCCCCCCTTCTAGGGAGGAAACAGAATGGCCATTGAGAAAAAGAAAGGTCAGTTACATAGGAGGGATAAGTTAAAATGAACTTTGTGGTCAAAGCACAGGTTTACTTTAAGCTGAATCTGGCAGTGGTGCAACTGTTATTGTGTTTTACTCCTACATAGTAAAGGGGTTCTAAAGCTTACTGTTGTTTTGCCTATATCTACTGTTAACAAGCAGTAGATATAGGCAAAAAGTTTTAAAAAAAACAAAACAGCGGTTTAGACTGACCTAATTATCGCTGCACGCTCCCGCGGCGAGAGTCTGGAACTGTTCGTGCGGCCGCAAAGAATCTTGGGCCGGGCGCATGTGCAGTTTGGGTTCTCGGCCGGGAGACGAGCAGAGACGCAAGGTAAGTCTATTGACGCGTGCACCCGCCTGCAGACACCGCGGGATCGGAAGTGCCTGTAAGCAGAGAGGAGTCAGCGCTGGATCGGAGAGCCGCCGCATCGCTGGAGGGACAGATGAAAACATGGGGAAAGAAGAAGATCGGAATAAAATACATAATTTAAGGTAAGTGCTGACATTAACATGGGGGGGAGGGGAAAAAATGTATCCTTTAATGTCACTTTAACACTCCTTAGCTCTGGCAGGCATGCAAAGCAGGGATACTTTCCCCGTACCTGCATACCATCAGATTACAAGGTAGTAGAAGTCAGATTTGATACTGTAAACCGCTGTAGGAAAGCACTGGTCCATCCATACTGGAAACATGTTAATACCATAAGAAGTGCATTATTTGCATTTTTAAATCTAGCAAGCAAGAGCTCCTAACATTGGACAATGCACCAGTGATATAGATGGAGCATTCAATAAATATGAAAAGTGCAGACATCCAATGTAAGCAGGGAAAGCTAATGATTAGAACAATGGCTAAACTATCCACAAAACTATATTTGTGCTCAGTTTTATCATGTTTGCAATAAAGAAGTATGTCAAAGATGTTGTGGGGTCCCTGCTATCTGTTAGATAACACTACCAACTGCCTACAACCTTTTCTGGCATCACTTCATCTTACAGCTGGATTCATTGCAGCACACGAGGTAGTAAACACTGCAGTATACAGGTTACATAGGAAAGAGTGGAATTTCTACTTAACATGCATTTCCATGCAACAAAATGCATGAATTTTGCCACATAAAAACGGAATATTTGTCCTTTTTTTCCCGTTCATTGATAGACACAGCCAGATCCTAAGGATCTTGATCGATAGTTTTTTTGCCTAGCATCCTACTCCTGCAGGTGGCAATATAAACCCATCATCAAGATTCTTAGGATCTGGCCTTCAATGAACGCAAAGAAAAGGATACTACTGTGAATACTAAAATCCTATTTTCTCTTCTGTTCATTGATGGACACAGCCGGATCCTAAGGATTTTGCCCAAGGGGTTTAGATCGCCACCTCTAGGAGTAGGATGCTTGGCAAAAGACTAATCAGTCAAGGTCCTTAAAATCCGCCTGTGTCCTTTAATGAACACAGAGGAAAGGATTTTACGGTGAGTACAAAAATCCTATTTTCCTTGAGTTACTTTCTGAGCAGTATATAACCTGTTTAAAATGTATGCAAAGCCAAAACTTTTTTGTAAAGCTTTGGGTAGAATAGGCAAGGGTTGGGGTTTTCTTCCTGTCTGTGTACCATTGAGGACTTCTTTACACTTCCTGTCCCAGCGACAGCAGTAAGTCAGGGAAGAAAACTCCAAAGTGAGGGTAAATCCCTTTCTTAGAAAGTTGTCACAAAGTCTGATGTCCCAATTGGAAGATTTCACCGCACCAACTGTTCCTTTGATAACTCAAAATTACTAATTTCCCACCACTTTCTGTACTGGAGACAATGATTACCAGGACCAAGAGAGGGGTGACTCTCCACAGCGATGACACAGACAGCAAAAAGAAACCTGATGGGGGGTCTAATCCTTCCAATTTTTGTTTGGCCTTTTTTTTGAACAATAGTGCACCATGGTATTAGCAAATCTCAGTTTTTGTACTCATAGTTGTACTGCTAATAATAAGTTAAACTCACTAATTATTTGAATGTGTTTATCTTGCCGTTAGCAGCACAACTGTAAGTGAAAACATTTTATAACTATTGCACACACAAAATATATTTACATGTACTAAAAAAGTAAACTGGACTTACAGTTTTAGTGTGATACTAAATTGAGTTACATCCACTGAGTTTACATTTATTTGATTTAAAATTAAGCAGCCAGATTTGCTCACTGTAGCAAATCATTTTCTTTTGATTTACTTGCCAGTAAAACAAAGTTTTTTCCTGTGTGCTGTATTTTAGGTCAGCCATAGCTGACCTGCGGTTTGAAACAGTTCTCAGAGTGGGGAAGTGCGCTTCTTAAGATGCTTTACGCTCTGACAAATAGAACTTTTAGTAACAATGCAGTCAGTCTGTTTTCTTTCTCGTTCCTCCGAGGGTGCCCCCTATTCCTTCCACCGGTGCCCCCATTCCTCCACTGCTGCCGGCATTCCTCTGCTACTCCTCCCTTGCCTCCACTGCTGCCCACGTGCCTCCACTGCTGTCTATATCCCTTTGCTGCTGCAGCCACTATGCCTCTGCTGCTCCCCTGTGCCCCCTCTTCTGCAGAAATCCGACGTCAAGTCTCCCATCAGTGGCTGGAAACAATAGCCAGGCTGCTATTGGCTATTTTAAATTGCAATAGCCAAAGCAGGCTGGCCATTGCACCAGCCCACTGCCTGCTGTCAGTCAGCAGAGGAGGACCTGATGGAGAACTTTTTCCTTCAGCTTCCTCCTCTGCTGATTGACGGCAGGCAGTGGGCGGGTGCAATAACCAGCCTGCCATTGCAATTTAAATAGCCAATAGCAGGCTGGCTATTGCTCCCAGCCACTGTGCTGCCTCAGCAGTCAGCTGCAGGGGGGGAGATAAGAGGGGGGATAGGGGGGGTTCAAACCCCCCCAGAGGGTCCTGGCAGTGGTGTTGTGAGAGGGGGCAGAAGAGGGGAATGTGCTCCCGAGCGCCCGTCTTAAGGATATCCACAGACAGGCAGGGTCTTCTAAAGGGATGCGGGGATGTCTTCTTTAATAAAACATCGGTGGCGGCTGGAGGAGAGCTGTATTTTACGAACACCGATGTTTTATCAAATAGGGCATCCCGGCATCCCTTTAGATGTGCCTGTTCCTGCCTGGCCCTGGATGATCTGTACATGCCTCAGTGCGGTCTCTGCAGGAGGCAGGGTGTCCTACCAGCATCAGAAGGATGGAGACAGAGCAGGCAATCAGGTAGCAGGGGGGG